TACCAAACAGGGTGAAAAGGAGGCTTTACTTTCTCAGTATTTCAGTGGACAGTTTACACCCCCGGTCACACCAGGGGCGACTTACCAGGTGATTTACAAGAGATGCAACTTGAAAACCGCACGGCAAGTCGCACCCTATTGTCTGCAATTAAAGTGGTCATATCAGTGCAATTGTGTCTTGGTCGGGGCGGCGCTAATTACTAAAGTACTGCATGCACTACTTCAAGTGCAACCTACATAGACATCTAGGCAGATGTCTTGCAAGCTGCACCTCAGGTCGGAATGACATCTGACTTTGAAATCGTACGATTTTACTGGAAGTTGCACGATTTCAAAGTAGGAATGGTGTGATCCAAGATAGGAGGGGAGTGGGGGTGTTTGGTCACATTTTGCTATCAGAGAGGTAGGGTACACCAAATGTGAACTCGATGGCAGTGAATGCATTCCTTCCTCTATTAGTCTCTCAATTAAACACATCTTGAAGTTTCAGGAGTGTATCAGGCATGATTGCAGACCCAATACCTTTAGCATTGAATGGAATTTTTCTGTTCCAGGGAAAGCTCTTCCATCAGAACCTTGTACTGTTAAACCTCACAGCTTGGAGGCTGAAAAACAGTCTGTGAAAGTTAGCCATCACAGAGCCAATAATAGTTTAGTCAAAACAAGAAAACGTTCAACCAACTTTTTTGTGTTCAGGTTTGGATAGGTGTCAAAGAGACGGTGGCAGATCCAGATGCCTTTTCTCCGACCATGACTCTGATTCTAGCCTTTCCTTAAGTAAGGCTTGATAGAGGTTTTAACTGTAAATTTGACATTTTCGATGTCAGCCTTATTAGCTTACAAAATGATCTAAATAGACCGCCAATCTGGTGAGACACTTTATTAAGACACAATTTTAACCACTTGTCGCCCAGACTTTGTGAATCACAAGCCGGAGAATGTTCGTTTTAAAATGCTTTCAGGAGTGGGCCGCCTGGCCATTTATCTACAACCATGTGAAAGGTAGCCAGGAAGCAGGATAGGTAATTTATCCCCCCTTGAAAGCCTGAAGAGGCTCTTTGGATTTTGGGCTCCTAATATGTAGCTGGGTTTCTGAAAGCTGTGACGGTGAATCCTTCTGCAGCAAAAACTAAAGATTCAGCAAAAATACACCAACATATGTCAAAGCACATGTTTCACTGCCATGTAACTCTCCATTTAATATAGCAACAGGTTTTGATTTCAGCAACTGCATATAAACCTAAGTGCCACCCACTTGATGAAGAATGTAATAAAATGTACCGGAAACCCCCCCCCCCCCAAAAGTATATGCAGCAAATATTAAAGCAGCAGCCCTTCAATTAAAACTGGTAAAGAATGGGTGCGGTCTTGTTTCTAGAAAAAATACTACAATGTCTTGTCTCGGTCTCCAACTTGAACTGGACAAGAAGCAGCACACTGAATAGCTCCTCGTGATGCTTCTCTCTTTCCCAGTCTGGGCTCTTTACAGAGGATTTCAAGAGACTGATACCAAGTCAAATTCAGATACTTAAACAGCTTGTATTTAAAAAAGAAAAACGATGTTTTAACCACTTGCCCTCCTGACCAGGCCATTTTTTGTGTTACGTCGCTGCGTTACTTTAATGGACAATTGCACGATCATGCAACGCTGCACCCAAATTAAATTTATGTCCTTTTTTTCCCCACGAATTGAGCTTTCTTTCGGTGGTATCATCTGTGCGTTTATTTTTTGTACTATAAAAAATAAAAATAAAAAAATACCAACAATTTTGAAGAGAAAAAAAAAAAAACACTATTTTTGACTTTTTGCTATTAAAAAAAAATCAAATTTACTCAAATACAGGCCAAAATGTATTCTGTTACATGTCTTTGCTAAAAAAGATATCCCAATATGTGTAAATTAATTGGTTTACGTAAAAGTTATAACATTACAAATGGCGGTATACATACTGGAATTATCACCGAAAGAAAGCCCTATTTGTGGGAAAAAAAAGGACAAAAATTTCATTTATGTACAGCGTTGCATGACCATGCAATTGTCAATGTAACGCAGCACCATATTGCAAAAAATGGCCTGGTCAGGAAGGAGGGTAAATCCTCTGGAAGGCAAGTGGTTAAAGATCACGGAGAGCTTTGGCTCTGTGTAAAGTAGCTGCCCTGCGTGTACAAGCAGCTGCAGACACCGTACAACAGAGCTGCAGCTCTGAATGATTTTTTTTACTATTATGAATGAACAAGCAGAGCTTCTCATTCATTCATAACAGTGTCAGATCACTTAGGGCTGCATATACACATACACAGAGCTGTGTGAGCGTTTACTATTTATTAATGAGTCAGCAATACTAGGCCTGTGCCATGAAGAACACAGCCCGACATTTGCTGATCGCTCATTCATAAAACTGAAATCTCACGAAGAATGGCAGCGCCAATCTCCAGAGCGGCCCTGGCTGTCAGAGACCAGAGCATGCCATCACAAATCTATCTTCTTCCTAGCTGCCTGGTCAAAGTGGAAAGGGAACTTGTCTGCTGCTTACAAACGAAGAGACAGATTTCAGCAAAACCGAGTGCTGTATGCACTTATTCCCCTAGTTAAAGTAAAAAAATGTATAGCTTAATCTTTAGACTCCATGCAAACTAGCATTTTTTTTTAAGCTCCTAGAAGCTATTATCAGCATATTTTTTTCTGCTCCTAGAAGCTAAATAGTGTTAACCTATGTGTCCATGCACACTACTTTAGGCTATTAGAATTTTTTGAGCTTCAGCGTCTAGGAGCAGACAAAAAAAAAAATTGTATTTGCAGGGTTTTTTTTGAATGTTTTTCCAGCAGAAAAAAAAAGCTAAATGCTCCTAAAACACTTATCAGCTTATTTCTAGTTTTTTATTTTCCTCTACATGTCCTGTAAAAATGCAAAGAAAATGCCAACGCTCCTAAACACTTCTAAACGTTACTAAAAAATGCTATTACCAGCGTTTTTTTATCCAGTGTTGCATGCTAGTTTGCATGAAGCCTTAAAGTGTTTCACAATACTGCTTAGGCTACTTTTCATTTCTGAATATCCATAGCTGTGAATAAGACAGTAAAAAAAAAATATTAAATAAATGACAGAATATTACTTTTTGAAAAAGGTTGCTTTATTTTGAAGAAAATAAAAGTTTATATGTGTCAACAGGTATCAACCGACAGGCTAACTCAAGCAACTATTCTAGAGCCTCTGCTTGAAAGCCTTGTTCAATATAAAGGTGTCATGGCAAATAATTTTAATGTTAAAAATAAATCTAGGCGCATATGAAATAACCTGCAAATAAAATAAAAGGGCACTGTAGCTGTGCAGAGCGAAACATAAAACACTGAAATTTGGAACCGAAATAAAGAAATGATCACTCTTGCATTTAAGCTTTGGAAACCCTTGCAAAATTCTTTTTCATTCACACCAACTACATAATGAAAACTAATTGCAGAATGGTGTTTTTTCATCTATCCCTAAGAACAATATAAATTTCTATGTACTAATGAACTGGGGATTTTATTTTACATAATAAAAAGATATTTAGAAATGGGAAATCCCCCACTATGCACAGATAACATAGGGGCTAAAATCCAAATTCAGTGTAGGTTTACGGTCATCATTAGCAAAAAAGTATATCTAGGTAATCAATAAGGCACAGCAGGTTATCATGTGCATGTTAAAATGTATTCCAAAACAACTGGAAACATACACTTTGGGGGCATTAACACTGAGATTACCTGGGAACTAAGCAGTGCTTCCTCCTCCACAATGACAGATCAATCACTACATTAGTTTAGCTAGGAAGTCTGTGAGGGAATAAAAGCCTGCTATCCAATTATGAGCACATTTCTACATGTAGCAGTTTTCAGAGTCAAACAAACCACCCACAAAATAGGGTAGTGTGTTCCCCTATTTACCCCCATGCTAAACAAAGGTAGTCATTTTCAACCTAGCATAGCATGTAGCAGTAAGCAACAAAACAAAAAAAAAAATGCATGCAGCATTTAAACACGGCAGACTACAAATTAAATAAAAAAACATTTTTAATTAATTTGTGCCTTAACAAAAAATTTTTAAAATCCTGTTGCTTCGTCTACCAAATATATGCTTTTATTTCCAAATAAAACTACAGACTTTTTTTATGGGGATCTAAGAATTGGTATAATGGCTGAATGCCCTAGAAATACATATCCATACTGATCATCACGGACAATTCTTGGCAAGGTAGTGCAACTGTATCAGGGGAGATTTGGAGATGTTACTCTATCAACAACCGATCTGAATACATCCAGTGTCTGTACTACACATACACTGGCAACACAATGACTCCACTTATATATCAAATAGAGCAGCATAGATTATTATGTGGCAGATATAGCAAAACTAAAAAGACAAAACTTATTTCTATGGATTTGATTAATCCTGATCAGTGAAATAAATATGCCATTTTGTATTACCATTGATCATCTGCTGATCTATGTGCTGTCAGCCCCTTCCTTCCTGTTTTAAAGGACATGGAGTATGAGGAAAATAAAATTCATATATTAAACATGGTAAGTATTTATATTTATTTAAACTTCTCTTACCCAAAATCCTTGTTCCCCCAATATTCACAGATACACTTCAAAACATTTATCATCTAAAAAAAAAAAAAAAAAGCTTAGATTTATCTATTAAATTTCAGTAGTTCTACTGACATCAGGGAGGCCATTACATTGTTCCAGTTTCCTTTGGACGAACAAAAACAAATCATATAAAGAAAAGAAAAGAAAAAAAAAAAAATCATAAATGCCTAATACAACCCATGAAAAAGATTTTGGTCTTGTACACCAAAAACTGTTCCTCAGGGTTCTGCATATGATCTCGAAACTAAAAAAAAAAAGCAGTAAGGTAAAAAGGGATGGAGGAGATAGAAATGACAAATTCTCTAGGTTAAAAAAATGTACACAGTAGGAAATTATATATATTTATATATGTACACAACCAGCAAAGCTAATCAAGCACAGGCTCTTGCTCTTTTTTAATAGTTGCTAGCATAGAGTTCTCAGTGTCTGCTGGTTCTGAGTCCCCACTACTTAACAAGATTGACTTTCCTTCGTCTTCAAGAGCAAAGACATCTGAGTTTTGGCCTTGGCACGTATGTTTTACCACCTCATTAGGCGTGGAGAACGTTTTGTCGCACAAGTTGCACTTGTAACGTTTATTTGTTTGAACGAGCATGTTGTCTAACTGACTGCTTTCATCAAACGAACACAGCTCCAGAGTCTGCTTGTCGACCACCGTGTAGGTGTCAGAACTCTTTAGGCATACGTGTCTAGCAGCTTGGTTGGCCCTGCAGAAACTCTTGTCACAGGTGCTACACTTGAATGGCTTGCCCGTGTGGATGTACATGTGCTCTCTCCAATGGCTTTTCTGAATAAACTTACGCCCACAGATAGTGCACTCATACTTTCTACGTTTCACTTCTCTTTCTTGGTCGGCTTGCTCTAAGTTATCTATATCTGCAATATCGGACGGTGGCGGCGTCTCAGCCTGCTGCTGACCATCTATTATCGGCGAGTCTGAGATCGGAGCCATATCACTGTCACTTATCATGCCAGTCTCTGTTGTCTCCATGGATTCCTTTCCTATCTCTGACCCATTATTACAGAAAGAAGGAGAGACACTGGCCTCAGTCTGCCCAGCAGTGGCGCTAAATGGCATTCCTGTGTGAAGCTGAAGATGTTCACGCAAACTGCTCCTCAAGTTAAAACCGACCACACAAGTGACAGGCATAATATTTGGGAAAGCTTCCATTCCTCTTCATGATGCTTGGCTTGACATGAGCAATTGTGAGGGATGTATTTTGCTCCTCGCTTGGCGATTCCTCCATGCTATTTTCTTCCAGTGCAGAAGGAGCAGGAACAGATGAGGTGGGCTCTGGAGACAATGGAGCATGCACTGGCTCAGAGAAAGTTAAATTTGTCCGGTTTGCTGCTGGCAATGAAGACGGGAGTTGATTTAACTGTACATTGTCTGATGTTGTTTCCTGGTTCACCCTCGAAGACTGTGGTCGATTTTCTCGTGTAGTCTTCTCAGCTGCAGTTGTAACTTTTGTTGGTTGTCTGATCTGATGATCTGCAATCTGGATACCATAGAGAGAAGATGCAAGAGGGAAAACCTGATCTGCATGAGAAAATCCACCATGACTTGCAAGGCTGGCCTCTTGTATTAAAGGAAAGGCATGCAAAAACTTTATGCCTTGCTCAAGGCGCACAGGATCAATAAGCTGAGGGGCCATTTTTCCAGTATACATCAAGTGTAAAAGATAGCTGAAGATATCCGGTTGGATGTCCGTTGATTTTAAACGTACGCATTCACTGCAGGAGAAATAAAAAACTATCAGAAAAAGGTCTTCCAGACATCAAAAATATACTGCACAATACATGTCTATGTTTCTGATACATATTAACACACTAGTAGTTTAAGCGGTTTGCTATAACTGGGAAAATACTGCCTAAATGCCTAGAACATCATTGATGTAAAATAACCAAAAGGGCAGTGCAAAAAAGGGATATAATTTACACAAAAATCATTTGAAAACTCCAGCTTTGCTTACTTCCCCCACCTACCTTCCAAGTCTACTAGGTGAATTGCAAAAAACTTAGTGAACTGTAATTCATATTCCCACCACCTTCAGTTCTGGAGGGATTACAAACACACCTTACTCCCTATGGACTGGTGAAATTTCTCAAAATGAGAGGTTCTGCGGGAGGAAGAACTCAGTACAGAACTTACCAGTCACTTGTGCTTTTCTCTGAATGATATTCTGCTAGGCAGGAAAATGAAGGAGATGGTTTTAATAAGGCTCTGCAGAAATGTACAGTATCGGTTAGATACATTTTACTGCAACAAGCAGCTCTTTTTTTTATAGCTTTTGTTCAGCTGGCAAAACATTTGGCAAGAGAACTTGCCAAGTTCTCTCTTCCTTTACAGTACACTCTGTGGTGGCACAATATGGGGCTTTTGGTGCCAAATTAAAAAAAAAAAAAAAAAAAAAAAAAAAAAAATGTGTGATTCACAAGTTGTCCTGACCACAGAAAAATTACACCTCCTATCACCTGAACCCTAAACCTAAACTAAAATATTTAGCACCCACCTTCACTTGACTTAAAATCAACCATTCTAAATTCAATGCCTTGAAATTCACACTGGTCTCTTGTGGCCGAAAGGCTCCATTACCGTTTGCAAAACGGATTAAATATAATAGACCTACACAACACAAACACCAACAACCACATCTACAAGCAGTCTAATTCTAGACCTTCTACAATTAGCAGTCTAGACCTGGTACAGTGCACCCAGCATCAGTACATTAGAAAACTGGCACTATGTTTAAGTGACCTGCAACTAACTGTGTATGGTGTAAACAAGCTCTCAATGTAAAAGGAGTTTTTACATGCTGTATCAATGCATTTGCAGGAATAATGAATACCCTATTTGCACCATTATGTTACTTTTATGTGCATAAAAACAAAACAAAAAAAACAAAACAAAATAGAATGTACGTGAACACACCGGAATGCATGTAAAAATACTAAATACCACTAAATTAAAAATACTAAATACTACTAAATGTACTTGCAAAACCACACATTGAACACGGGGATTGTGCTGTGAATGAGATCTTAAAGTCTATGTCCAACAAAACATTTTTTGGATCAAGTGTGAAGACCTATGTTTTTTTTTTTTTTTTTTACTGCTATCCGGGGCTCTGTTAGAGAGCTTTTCTCTCCCTTACACTCTGGTCACATCAAAGCAGATTTTGAAATTGTGAGACTTACAGTGAAGTCGCACGATTTCAAAATCGGGTGACCTGCCGATTTCATTGCGATTTGCAAGACATCTGACACAGATGTCTATGCAAATCGCAACAAAAGTAGTGCATGTACTACTTTAGAAATCGGTTCGGCTCCAACTAAGTCGGGACCGCACCGATATGATCGATCTAATAGAGGACAATAGGGTGCAGCTTGGCATGCGATTTGCAAGTCGCCTGGCATGCAAATCACATGCCAAGTCGCACCCGATGTGACCGGGGGCTGTCACTGTGGCAATAGTTTCCCCAGACAGGGAGGGAGATAAAATCTGCAGCAAGTACACAAAAAAAAGCTGACAGATTCCAGTCCGCCCCGTGTCAGCAAAACAAAAAGCTTTTTACTTCTGTCCGCGTTGCTGTTGGAGATTTTGCTCATTTCCTGTCTGGTGAACTGAATGAGGAGAAATATCTCTAATAAATATATACAAATATAAGTAAAACTGGACAGCAGTTTTAATCCATAGGCTAGGTACACAAGGGTGGAAACATGGCAAAAAAGAGTCGGTTCCCCAGGAACCAGTCAACTTTCGGCCCATGTGTACAGCTATCTGTTCTACAGAAGCCGATCCCACAACAAACTTCTGTCGAATGGGTATGCTGGAAACTCAGCATCTGACCCGCATCCAATCAGCACTGGCAGCGTTCAGTGTGTTCTGGCAGGCTGGGGACAGTCCACTTGTCAAAACACAAAGGCACAGCGGGAGAGATCACCACACCATCATTGCTTGAGTTAGTACAGTGATCTGTTTTTTTATTTTGTTCTGCCTGCTGGGTTGAATGAAAAAAAAAAAAAAAAAAAAAACCTCTAGCATGTATCCAGCCTCACCAACTTTTTCTAGCCATAAAAAAATATGGTTAGCACACTTTAAAATGGAACTAAACTCTCTCAATCAACATTAACTGTTTGTATTCCTTATGCTGTTACCGTAAGCCCTGGTTCACACTATTGCAGCTCTGCGAGCTGTGTAATCACGGGGATGGCAGCCTATTCATTTGAATGGACTGCTGTTCCTGTGTTTCATGCAGGCAAAAGGTCCCTTCATCATTTTTTAAATGTAGCATATGGGAAATCACATGGTGCTTTTGAACCATTTGATTTCCCTACAGTTCCCGCACCCAAAAATGTGATGCATTTTTAGATGCATGGGGGTGCCATACGTTTTTTATAGAGTAGCATGTGTTGGCTGCGGCTGAAGGAATCTAAACCTAAGGCTGCGGGTGAAGGAACCTAAATAGATAGGAAGGTATATTATATTAACTTGTTTTAAAACATTTGTTTTACATTGTTTCAGTTTCTTCCGGGTTTCTAGCCTAGGCCAAAATGATGTCATACATAGCAGGAGCCTTCATGGAAATTTTTCTTTTAGTTGGTGGAGGAGCTTTCTCAACTAAGCACAACCTCTTGCCTGCATGCCTGAATTAAGGGCAGATGGATTCCAAGAAGTAAATGCTATATTAATCCTTTGCCCTTACTCAAGATGACCACGGCTAGAAATGCTAGTGAGTTTTTCAAAATCATTTCTCAGCTAAATAAAGTATGGAGAAATGGATGAATGGGCAAGTTTGCTTTTTAATATTCAAAATAAATTAGGAGTTCAGTTTGTGGTGCTCAGATACAGTCAAGTTCTGCTTTAAGCTACAGCTCAAGCCCAGATTAAATGTACAACCATTCCTGAGCAGTTTAATCCTAGAGACCTTTTGTTCTAGTACATTGCTTTCTTCACTTTATAAAACTTTTAGAAGGTGGTGGTGTAGAGGGCAGAAGATTTTTCAACTAGTACAGAAAGGTACCATTGTATTTAACCAATATCAAGACATATTACCTTGTCTGGTGAACAAAGAGCATCTTGAAATAGTTGGAAAATGATGCAAGGACCGACTTGTGTGCCTTAAAGTAAACATCCCCAATGGCTACTGTGCAGTCGCAGAGAAAACCAAATTCTCTCTGGGCATTTAGCTGTTGCAGAAGTATAAGTCCATGATTGGCCAAATCCATCTTGCTTCAATGGAGCCTGAAAACAAAGTACAAGAAAGGTTCTATTTACATAAGTGGTAAAATGACTTGTTTTGTCCACCTCTTTAGTGATTAAAGAGATTTAAAACCTTTGCTTCCCTGCAACATAAGGCAAAGTATATTAGGATCTGTTGGCTCATTTCTTCTACTTCTCAATTTCAACAACGTAGCCCTGAAAAGCCCGTTTGGCATTGAGCACTTACAGGAGGGTCGAATTCCTGCGTCCTACACCACATGCTGGTTCCTTCCTCTGACCTCTATATCAATGCAGGACTTAGCAGTGACATAGGAGTTGGAGGAAGGAAAGACGGTGACATGGTCAGACACCTCCAGAAGCATCAGATGCCAAAGAGTCTAAGACAGCAGTGTTGAAACGGAGGATAGAAAAGAGAAATAGGCTGCCTAAACAAAGAGAATTCTCTGTTGCCTACTGCAGGTTTTAACATCTACGACATGAGAGTCTTTATATATTAACAAACACACACAGAACATGACCTCAACGCTTACTACAAACTGTATTGTGATAAAGTATAACTAAACGGCAACATTTTTTTTTTTAGTTTTGGATAGAGTGGAGAGGGATTATAACCATTGTCTGGTTTTTTATTTCTGTCTGTGCCCCTATTAGGGAGATTCATCATTTATATTTGTCCTGTTTACCATCATCATTGAAAATGACAGTAAAAGAAAATCCCAAATTTGGGTTGTCACAAAGTAATAGAGGGGAAATTAATTCTGGGATTCACTTAATTTGCATGGATTTCCTCTGACTTCCTGCTTGGGACAGGAAGTGAAGGCAAATCTCCAAAATGAGACACAGATGTCAAAAATCTGACTGGGGTTATAACCGTACCGTACTCTATCCTAAATGAAAGAAAAAAAAAGTTTTGCCTAATTCTACTTTAGTTACAATTTTTTGTAGCTTAAAAAATTAGTGTTTTTGTAGAACAACAAAAACCATGCGAAACTTTAAATAAGAGATTTAACAGTAAAAACAATTACTAATTTATCTATATAGTGTTATATAAAAAATATTCCCCCCAAATCAGCCAGACATGAGACCATGAGCAGTACTCTAGTCTCAATGTCAGCAGTATCCATAGTACAGGCTGAAATCTGAAGAAATCTGGGGAAAAAATTGATTTTTCCATACAAGTGGGGCTGTGCCTGCACTACAAGGGTTAAATGTTTGTTTTTGTCTAGGGGCTCTGAAAGTAAAGGTATACTTACCTAATCCGCCAATCCTCTGTGAGCAAGACAGTTCCCCACCACTCCTGTACCCTCCCCACACACTAGCGGTCTTGTGAATGGGCTGTTCCTGACACCACGACTCCCACAGACTGGCTCCAGACATGAGGACGGTGGGAGAGTACGTTTTTCCGGAGGATCGGAGGACAGGGTAAGTACAGCTAATCCTTGAGCCCCTAGGCAAAACTAGCAATTAACCCACTGCATGGGAAAAAAAAAAAAAAAAAAAAACTAGGGATGCATCGAAATTTCGGCCACCGAAATCTCGGCTGAGAATAGCCCTATCGGCATTTTGCCAATAGGAAAAAGTTAGCCGATCAGGAGACTATGTGTACAGCCGATGTGAGGAGGGGGGGGGGGGGGGTTAGGGGACATCTGAGAAAGGCAGGAGAGGAGCACTGTACATAGTGACTGGCTGTCAGTATCTGTCAGTGCCGGTTTTTAAATGTAATTACCGTTTTTTTTTTTCTTCACTGTAGCTCACAGAATTAGCTGTCACTTTCCCCAAAGTTGAAAGAAACAATATTTCCTTTTAGTTTTTTTCCCCCATAAAATAAATAGTTTCCTTTAGCTCCAGGGAAAGTGACAGCTAATTCTGTGAGCTAACAGTGAAGAGAAAAAAAAATGTCGGCAATTGCATTTAAAAATCGTCACGGACATATAGTGACAGCCAGTGAGGGAGCCTCTCTGTATACACTGCTCCTCTCCTGCCCCCTCCTTGCACACACTGCCCCCCACCCCCCCTCCCCCCTACAAAGAGGACCTGTCACTCATATGCTATCACATAGGGGACTATTGGTCCCCTATGTGATAGCAATAAAATCATAAGTTTTAAAAAAAAAAATATTTACATGAAAGTAGAAAAAAATTAAAAGAAAAAAAAAAAAAGAAACTGGAGCCTCCCCACCCCCACGTACGCAGACATTTCAGTTTGGTTTTCGGCCACATGCATTCTGAATTTGTGGAATCAGTTTCGGCTCCAGAATTTTCATTTTGGTGCACCACTACAAAAAAAAACATTTTCACCGGAGTTCTGCTTTCAGTGACTGGGGGCTGTGCAGCCACCCCGATGATATCTACACACAGCAGAGAAGCCATACATTAACACTTTAACAAGCCAATGCTATGAGCTCGCTCTGATGCTTTGCCAAGATGTAGACTTTGCATTGATGGCTTACAAAATATCCAAATACAAGTAGGCACATTCACAAAAAGCTGCATTCTCAGGCAATTATTTATCCTTATATAGAAAGACAAATTCATACACGATACATATCCATATAGATCAATAAATATGTACGCAAGCTACAAAAGGGCAGCGGCTGAAAGCATAATATCTTTCTGAGGACCTCTTTAAAGCTGAATTCCAGGAAACCTGAAAACTCTCCCTTGCAGTGGGGCTGTCCCTGCATTACAAGGGTTAACTGCTCATTTAGTCTAGGGCAGGGTGGGCAACTGTGGCCCTCCAGCTGTTGTAGAACTACAAGTCCCATGAGGCATTGCAAAACTGACAGCTACAAGCATGACTCCCAAAGGCAGAGGCATGATGGGACTTGTAGTTCACCAACAGCTAGCGGGCCACAGTTGCACACCCCTGGTCTAGGGGAAAGGTAAAAGCAATTATCCTTCCTCCACTCTCCTAGCATCCAACGCTCACCTACAGTCCCTGGAGTGGACCGTCCCTCAGCATCCTTCCATCCAATACAGGACTATGGACCTTGCATCAGTTTTTATGTCATCAGGACTCTGGACCACCAGAGCACGGGGAAGAAGAGGGCATGGGGACAGGTATAACAGTGCAGAAGAGCCTGCATGAGCAGAGGGTAGGGCAAATCTATTTTTGCGTTCCCTAGACCTAACTGTGCAGTTAACCCTTGAAATGCGGGCACAGCCCCTTTCTCATTGATTTTCCCAGAAGTCTGCACTAAGATAAAGGTCAGATCTTAGGCATCCTCTGCAACAGGAATTATAGGTTTGGTAAGATACTCTCTAAATGTTAATTACTTCTAAAGGAATGCAGACTGCAACCTTTCAGAATCCTACAACTGCATCAGCTGATTAGATAAAAGACAAACACACCAGACTTCTAAGGAGATACTAGAATATACAGCTTTTTCTTAAGAACAAAAACAGGTAGGACTCTATTACAAATTTTGTTAACATTTTTGCAATGAACATCAGGGATGTGCAATTCTTTTTTTTTTTTCCTTTAGCCCTGCTGTTGACAAGCAGCAGGGCTCACCTGTCAAGTGGAAGCATTGCTTCCACACAGCCCACAGTGCCAGCCTCTCTCCCCAGCCAGCTTTATGTCTCGGGCTCAACTTGCCCATCTGCGGGCCCAGGACTGGGTCAGTGGGTGCCGCGGGATGTGGCGGAGGAGAGGGATGAGATTGGACACATGCGCTCCCCTCCCCTTCTTGTCCTGACTAGAAATGATGTGACGTCACTTCCGGGTCCCCGTTTGGCAGATTCCTGGTCACAGAGGCCGGGAAAGAATGTAATGCGGTGCGATATGCACTGCATAACATTCAGGGGAGCACAGGGGAGATATCCAGGGTCTTTCACCAAAAATATCATCACATAAGTTAAGTAAAAAAAATGTTTTTTTTAAAATGAAGTTACACCCAAGCATATAAGACCCCACATATGTATGCACGCACGCACGCACACACACACAGACATAAAAGCACACGCTGGGTTGCCTACACATGAAAACATTGATTGCGAAACACGTTACATATCGCCGCGCATGCCAGAATGAGAGCAATAATTCTATCACCAGACCTCCTTCTTTAAGCTAAACCAATGACCTATAAGGGGCTTTAAAAGCACAACCTGTAAAAATATAGGGTTCTAAAGTTTGTTGCCGTTTCAGGAGTGCATGCAAATTTACATAGTTACATAGTTAGTCAGGCTGAAAAAAAACAAAAGTCAATCCAGTTCAACCATAGAAAAAAAAGTTATAATCCTATACCCACAGTTGATCCAGAGGAAGGCAAACAAAAAAAAAAAACCCAGCAAAGCATGATCCAATTTGCTCCTGCTGGGAAAAAAAATTCCTTCCCGATACCCCGAGAGGCAATCGGATATTACCTGCATTTAAGGTTTGACATGTTGCATATCCATTTACTCGATGCAACCTCGTCATTTATTTTTTTTACAAAAAATTGGATAATTTATTGATTTTTGTGCCCTAAAATTAACTTATTATTATTACTTATAACTTACTTATTATTTTTTTCTGAAACTTTGGGTTTCCTAGACCTTTGTGATAATATTGTGCGACATAAAAAATTGGAACTACCACTATTTTATTCTCTAGAATTTCTGATTTCAGAAAATATATAATGTTGGGGGTTTATGCAATCTTCAGGCCTAAATGATTTTTTAAACGTGTGCAAAAAATGCAAAACCGGCTCTGGCAGCGAAAGGGATAAAGAATAAGCCTGACACTCTCCTTTCCTCATTACACTGCAAGGTCTCTCCTCTCCCTGCTAGTCCCCGGCTGCGGTGCTGGAGACAGGCAGGGAGGGGAGGAGAGGATAAACAGCACAATGTTACAAATAATAAAATCTTTAAATCACCATAAAGCCCTTTTTGTTTTTAAAAGCCCCAGACATTACTTAAAGCAGATTTAACCGTCTCCCGCCTGCCATATAGTGTAATTACGGGCGCAAGGCTGTTCTCTCATTCTGGAGGACGTCATCCCATTCTAACCGCGCATGCACGGCTCC